CAAGGGGAACAGAAGAAAGCAGCCAATAACCTACCTAATGATCTTGTGTAAATGGCTGGAAGAACAGGGTTTAGGAGACATAGCAAAAGACAAAAACTTAGAGCTGCAAATGACAGGAAGTCATGGCAAACTATGCATGGTCCATACAAGAATGTTATGTTTCCTTCAGTTTTGTTTCACTTGAGTTTATATCTTTTGTTTAACCCATAGGAAGATTTATATATCAGAAATTAAAAGTGAAATATCAGTAATCAAACTTTTATATTTCTTTACAATATTATGGACCCTCAAATTATTTAATTTCACACCAGTAAATAAATTGCTGTAAATATTTCTAATAAAAACAGATTATCACAAGCTGATAATCACAATGCTATATGTTAATTTATATAAATATATCCAGAAAATGTTACCAATATTAACTTGCATAATAAGATCTGACATTGTGCACTTCAAGATCAACTGTTTTAATCTGTTTACTGCCATGGACAAGTCATCAGTTTAGTACCACAAACAAATCAACTTCAATATTGTGTTAGCCTTGCATCGCCATCTTGTGCAAAAGAAATTTACATATTTACTTTGGACAACTAATGAATGTTTGCACATACTTGAGCCTTAAGTGCAAATCTGTTTTTAGAAATTTTGTCCTGATTTAAATTATAAAAACATTTTCTTACATTTATTAGATATTTTGTTATTTCGTTGATATGCAAATAAGACTTTCTATTTTCATCCAATCTTTTATGAGCAAAATCCAACAGTAGTTAAAACAGACTTGGCAGGGAATAAATTAAATAAAACATGCAACCCCCCTCCCTTATCACAACTGAAAATGTTGCTTACACTTCTTTTTTTTTTTCCAGTACCTTGATGACTGTGCGGAATGGCATGTACTTTTATATGAAAACCTGATCCATTTATTAATTGCTGAATTGGGAAATTTTGTAATCAAATTAGAATTAATAAAACTGACTTTTATTTTTCAATGTGTAACTTTTTTTTTTTTCAAGGACACCAAGTTGACCAAATATGTTGGCTGATAGAACATTGGAATGTGATCAAAGAAAATCCATTAACTATGCATAACAGGATTCAGAAGTTTTTGTTCAGACATAAAAGAAATAATTGAGATAAAAATCCTGTATCAAGTTGGGCCTCTTTATAGATATTTCCTGTTGCCCAAGTTTTATATTTACTTAGTTCAACCAGGAATCCAATAGAAAGAAACAATTTTCTCTAAGTGGTGAGGCTAAGCCTTCAAAATTGCAGTTTAAGCCAGATTCCAACATGAAACATTCAATGAATCATTTTGACAAGATAACCTTTTAAATGTAGCAATTGAAACAAAGGTGAGGTTACTTCAATCAAATATGTCATCACTCAGGTGACAACTTCTCATGTTTGAGTTATGGGTAATAAATTTATGAATTTTCTGTTGTAACAAGTTGTGTTCTCATGATTTAGTTAATGTTTCATTAGGACAAAAGCGAACATTGAATTCAAAGGTCTCAATCTTTAAGAAAGTCTCTCCTCACCCACAAAAAAAATAGTGTTTTTAGCAAAAAGAGACTCTGTAAATTTTGTTGAATTAAATTTGTAAACACTTTTTTTTTGTTAAACTTTCTTCTCAATTTGTCTCTTTGTGATGTGGTTTCAAGGTTGAGTCCAGTTTAGCTTTGCACTGTTCTGGAACAAAATAAATGGATATTTTTTACTCTTAAGGAATAATCCTCTTTTATTCTGATTTGAAGGCATTTAAAAAGAAAATCACAGCAGAATACAGCATTACAAATAAACCTAACAATAAATTCACATGTATCTCAATAATGTCTTAAACTTCCAGTTTTTAGAACATTTCCCCACAAATCCAAGACAATAATACCACATCAGGTTGAATACTGGAAAATACTTACAAGAAACCATTTCACCTCTCAGAAGTGCTTAACTATGTTGAGTTTTGTCATCATGTGAAAATTTCTAAGAGCAATTTTAAATTGCCAATGAAGGTCAGAGAAGTATCCAAATTGAATCTATCATCCTTAAACTTATTTAGCCTGATTGTCCAAAAATATGCATTACCAGAATATATTATAGTTCACATGAGTAAATTTTTAAAATAGTTTAATGTTTTAAAAGTTTTTTTTTTTTCTTCCCTTAAAATCATACATATTAGATTTCCTGAGTAATATGCTCCAAGACAATTATTACATTAATACCCTGATATCAACAGTATCATATTCTATTGGAACACTTTTATAAGGCCATGTTTATCACTAGATCTGCATCAATATTTTTAAAAAATATAATCTCTTATTACTTGGCTTAAAAAAAATAAGTAGTTAAAATGATTAAAATTGGCCATAAAAATTAAATTTCAGAATTTTTGAAAGCTGCTACAATCCAATCTGGAGACTTGCTGATCAAAATGTAGTCTTCATGCTTCGACTGGCCAGGGGGCCACAGAATCTGAATAAACAAATTTCCCTTTTTTTTTCTATTACAAGTTGAAAGTAAATGAACACCTTATTGTATTCCATATTTTCAATTCTCTTACATTTATTTCAATAATAGCAAATATATTACAGGCTACACAGTTGTATTTTGTTTGTTTTCCAAAGGAACTGATGATTCTGCAAGTACCTCTGAAAGGAAATCATAACGAACACAATAAATCATAAATAATGCAGCAGAAATGGCACTCTAATGAGCAGCTTTGTACCAAAAAGGGCAGACATTCTAAACCCAGGATACATCACTGTTCAGCCCCAACTACTATTGGCTGGCAAAAGGACATTTCCAATAAGAAACGTTATTGCTGTTATACATTACCCAAAATTAAACAAAATAGTCTGTCAATAGTTGCATGTGTGCAAATGGGTGTATATAAATACATACATGCAGATAAGTGTTGGAGTAATTCTGCATGTATGTGTGTGTGTGTGTGTGTGTGTGTGTGCGCATTATATGTAATGTACACACATGCACAATGAACACTTGTGAAACTCTTGAATTTACAAGAATATTTTGCTGAACTTCACACCAATGAATTCTTCAGATTTTGATTTGATCTTTTCCAGTTGATGCAAAAGTTGTGGGAAAAATATTCCAAGGAAAGGAAGATGAGTGAACCAAGGTTCAATATGCGGAAACATTTCAATTCTAAGGAAACAGAGAGAGAAGAGGGGATTGGGGGGGGTCATATCAATAAAATCCAAAAATATAGAAATTGTCTTCACAATCCCATTGTAACATATGCAAACAACTTTCAATATTTTTCAAATTTTCCATTTTCTCTCATTTTTGGCAAAGGTGGGGTGGGTAGGAAGAAAGAGAGAGAAAGAAAGAAATCTTCATTTATTGTCACAGATCTGCTTGTACTTATTTTCAATTCTAGTATTTGGACTTGGGCACTCAAAAGTGCTTAACCATGTTGAGTTTTGTCATCATGTGAAAATTTCTAAGACAGACTAAATGAGGTATGCTTTTATTTTTCATCATAATTATTAAAAGCTCTCAGTTATGTGATGTGATTAATGCACTCAAAAAGTATATTAGTAAAACTGAATATACACTCATATATATTCAATATACTCCCAAGTACAATTTAAATCAAGAATGGGTGAAAATAAAACTAGGCTCCTAAATGTTTGATATATTTTTTTTTTTAATTTGTGCATATATACATCTACATTCATATATACATAAAGTGACAAAAGCACATCTGCACTAACACACACTTTTATCATAGATGTTTATGATGAGAACAGTGGAAAGAAAAGATCAAATACAATGAAAGGACTGTCTTCTTTACAAATGTTGCAATAATAGAGGGACAAAAAGGAATTAGGTGAAAGAATGGCTTTTCATTTTGTTTGATAGAAGAAAAGATTTTAAATAAATTTTGCTTTTTTATGTCATACCAAATCTCCTTAATATGGAAGAACAAAATTTGATTGCTAATGAACCCAGTATATCTTTGGATTTAGCTGACATCTGTTAAAATATTTGATATCACAAACAACTCAAAGAGTTTTGCAGAAAAATAGAGTTTTAATGTCTACCATCTTTCAGAATTTCCCGAGGCTACCAAACAAATAAATGGTGAGTACTTTCAGCTAATGTCTGCAAATATCTACATTAGAAACACATTGTTAAGCAAAGTGTGTGTGTGTGGGGGGGTTGAAACAGAATTTTTGTTTTAATATTTCAATGGCAGCTTTAAAATTCAGAGAAAAATGAAAGACAAAAAAATTGGCAAACAAAAGACTGACAAGTGATGGCAGGGGATAAATTCTTAAAGCTAGCATCAAGGGAAACAAAACAATATAATGTAAACAGGGATATGGAAATACAATTATTTGTGGACAATTTGATCTTTTGTCAATACATGCAAACATTCAGCTTTTCAATATATTTATATGTCTACATGCTTGCTAAGATAACGTGATTAAGTATAATGTGACAATTCTTGTAACCCTACAAGTGAATTTGTTTCACAGTCAACCAAAATGTAACATCATCTAGATAAAAGGTGTGTATGTGTGTATATATATATATCTCACTACATTTGGTAGTAAAATAGTAAAAAATAAACAAAATGTCATATTTCTATGGGTAGAAAGAACTGAAGTTTTAGAATGGGTGAAGATAAGACTTATTTCCAAGATTCAAAATATTTTGTATTTATTTGTAACAACACATATTTTAGAAATGTGAGTGAGTATGTGTGTGTATATATATATATATATATATATATATATATATGATAGTGCTGAAATAAGATATTTCTGAAATTTCTTGCCAGCATAAAGGAGGGCAGTATGTGATTTCCCCAAATTAACATTAAAAGGGAAACACACTCAGCTGAGGTCAAAGGACAAAATCCTTTCATTAAAGAAACAGATTGTAATTATTTCAAGAAAACTTAGAAAGCCTAGTAATGATGAAATGAAATGCTCTAATGGATTCACTGGTAATAGTTTTTAGAGTGCATTCATTTAGCAAATTTGTTGAGCAGAAAGGAAATGGAGAAAGAGAATAAATACATGAAGGTAGGGAGAGAAAGAGAGAGAGTGTAAGTTCATAAAAGGAATGAAGTAGAGAGAGAGAACATCTAAAGATTGTTAGGAGTAGGAATTTTACAATCAAACAAATGAATTTGAAAGTAAATGAGAATCAGTTGCAAATGTCAGAAGGAAAGAAGGTTTGTTTTGTTTTTTTTTACAAAGAAATATGGAAACATTTAAGACAAACTTGCAAAAAATGAAACAGAGTAAACAGAAAGAGGCAACAAAGAAAACAAATGTTGGAAAGGGAAGGAGAACTGGTGACGATTAAGTTTTTTTTTTGTTTTTGTTTTTCCTTCTATTTTCTCAAGTATTCAAGCAGAGTATGTAGCCTCACAGCTATATCCAAGTTGATGCTGTTTTATTGTCATTAATTGTAATAGATCTGGTACAAGTCCAGATATTACTTCAGAGTCTCCATCAGTTATTTTTTGTTAATAATGACAGTCTTCTTTCATACAGTGTCATCTGAAAAGAGAAACAAAGAGCACGTAAGCAATCTTTACTTAAGACTGGCATGCATCATCGATTTTAGTAAGGTTCAAAGTTCAAAAGGATATTAAATCTTAATTGTCAAAATGAGAGTCAAATGTATCGTTTAAGAGAGACAAATTGAAGTTGGATTTACATTAAAAACTAAAGAAAAAGGGGAGATGACTGAAAGCAAATCAGTACTGTTATTTTTATCTGCTTTCACTACAGACTACATATTCTTTTATACAGTAATTTGTATACTACTTTTAACAAATAAACTTTTACTTTCATCATTCTGGTTCCTTTAAACATTACTCTCTTGCAATTTCTCAGTTTTATAACAATCAATGAAACAGCCTCTTTCAAGGGTTTCTTTTGTGTAGGGTGATGGACAAGAAGGCAGTATTTTCACAGTTGACAATACACTATGAGTCAGAAGTAGCATCGCTGGCAAAGCCGTTTGCATTTTTGTACCTGGAATTCATACAAAGTGCTCTCAAAAATAGTCTAAGTTGCTAAGAACTCACTGTGCTGCTTCTGAATATTTTATAAACATATGATTTGTAAAAGAAAAAGAAATCTGACAGGATTATTTACAGATGGATCATCACTTTTATCATTGGCTGAGTGCTGTATATGTGCATTGTACCTGAGCTCAATGTAGTATCTGTGCACTCTTACTAGGTACAGTGTCACTCCCCAGCTATATATATATATATATATATATATATATATATATATATATTTATTAAAGACATTTTTTATGTTTAACATTTTTTTTTAAGGCACGTCAGCGTAAATGACGGTTCCGTATAGGATGCAGGTTCGAATCCTGTCAAAGGACGAATATTTTCTATGAAAATTTCTCGGACATTCAGGCTGGTAAATGTTATTTAATACTGTTTATCATAAACAGAGCATTTGCTTAAATACTTGTATCTATAAAATAACAACGTTAAACATAAAAAATGTCTTTAATAAATAAATTGTCGGACATTGTCCATTTCTTAATATATATATATATATATATATATATATATATACACACACACGCACACATATACATACATACAAGTTTGACCAAAAACAACTGACAATGTCAGTCTAATATTTTCCCAATTCCAGGATAAAGTGTTGAGTATTGTGCTCAAAGTTGTGGATAAATTGTTTGAAGTTTGTATTTTGACTTTCATAATCATTATCAAGAACCTATGTGGTGTCTGTGTTAGAATTCCTTTGTCTGCATCCTGGTATTCTTTGGGAAGCTGGATGTCTGAAATGGTCACGTGTAATGGCTAACCCACTGCAAGGAAAGACTCAAAACTCTAGAAGTCACATTAAATATCATTCACCACAGGAAACGTTATCTGAAAGTGCATATGATATTTAATGTACACACAGATTTTATCAGTTTTATAATAATAAATAAAATAAAAATTTAAATTTTAACAAATAAATCACATTCATTTTGTGCAGTCTTGTTCTCAATAACCTTTACACATGACGTCATGCTAGACCATTTTAAACGTTTATCTTCCCTTTGATCTTATAAAATGGGTGAATGATTTATTTAATATTTTTGTTACTTTGAACCTGATACACACACTAAATAGGAAGGTATTAATAAATTGGATCATTGGAATAAAAACTGATAATATTTCAATAAGAATGAAGACTCACTTCTCACCACATTATGACAACATCTACAAAATAACTTATAAGGAACTGTTGATATTTCATTAAATAAAAAAAAAAAAAAGTGAAAAGATCAGATAAAGATATTTTATATATGATTTATTTATAATGTACACCACCAAAATGTGAACTTGAGGGAATTATAAGTGTTTATTATCATTTTCAAAAATTGTTGTTTGAGTCCACTGATATAATTAATACTCATTATTTTAGTAATAAAAATCCAGGGTATTTGTTGTTTTTTTCAAACATTTGAAGCGTCAATAGATGTGTCTTTTTTTTACAGATAGCTATATCAATTGAGAGATTTGTTTTTTTTTTTAATCATTTCAACCCAAGCAAGGTGAAAATGCCATTAAGACACAAGGTGTTACTGAGAGTGGAAGAGAATGAGATTTCTGTGAGGAGAAAGGACAATAAAAAAACAGAAGATGGCAATGATGTCCACTCTAAATGTATTTCAGCTTACCAAGAAGGAATTTTCTATATATTTAAAGTTTATGTACTCACCATGATACCACCATTTGGTTTTTTTTGGATTTTTGTGGGCTGTTTTCACATAGAATCCATTATCTGGGGGTCGTTTCTGTAATAATAAACATTTATTTCAATACACACACTATGTATATATTTATTTAAGGATATTAAAACATGTTAAGAATCTCTACATAATGGTAATTATGTTTCAACACCATAAATATATTTCCTTGGGCGATGTTAAATTACTGGCAAGTAAAAGATTTATTTAATTTCAAATATTTGGCTCTACTCCCTCTTAAATGTTACGTACAGTGGATATTTATAATATACTCCATTTTTTTCTCATTTTACCTGGAGATCTCAATAAACATCAATCATTCAGCAATAAGATCAACTGAAATAAGACAAACACTCATAAACAATGCATATGTACTGCAGAATACTAACTATAAAAAAAACAAAAAAAAAAAAACAAAGAAAAGGACTCCAAAATATTAGAAGTCTTAACTGTGAAATCAAAAATGTTCAAAACTAAAAACTTTCTTCAATGTAGGGATTGTGGTTTTAAATGTATTCCTCAACTGATGGTACAATTAAAAAAAAAAAAAAAAAATGAAAAATCTTGTATGCCTTTTGCACAGGTGGTCATAGCTGACCTAAAATGAAGTGTTCATTTTGGATAAATTTCACAAAATAAACAAGTTAAAAACATTACAAGTCACTCATTTCTTATTTAATCAAATTCTGTTGACTAAACAAAAATATTTTTGCATCGCCATTGCCTCTTTTCATTATGAGAAACATAGTTGGTTGACAACAGATTAAGTAAATCCCCAAAACAGATGACACACCTGATCTGCTACAAAGTGTGATTAGTGTGGTTCTGTCAAAATGAGAATGCCATATGAGGTGATAAGGCTTACCTTTTCTCTACAACTGGACAACATACTGATTATACTAAGGCAGATTGACTGTACAGACAAGGCAGGAGACCAGTCATCAGACAATATAGAAAGACAAATATGACCATTACTGTAAACATGTGGATGAACTGGAATATTGTTACCAATAAAAGTCACCTGCAAAGACAGTTTAATATCATTTAAATGTCATCCATAAATAGAAATTCCTTCTTAACATTTTCAATATTTTCTAATAAAATTAATATTTTGGAATTAAAATGTATGCTGACTTATAGATAATATTAAAAAAATCTTTAAAAGGTTATAAATTTAGAAGATGATTTTTAATTGTTCACAAATTAGTGTGGATGTGAAAAATGATATTTAAAACATGTTTATGAATGTTATATATATATATATATATATATATATATATATATATATATATATATCCTATAATACCATCAAATAGAATCATTTTTCTTGTTCTAGATTCCTTAAAAGTTCTTTATTTTCAATATAAACATTTTTTGTTCTCAGATTTTTTTCTGATAACAAAAGCTACTGAATGTCTCATACAAATGTTCATTTCCCAGTACAACATCTTGGAAAAATTGGTACTTGAAAAATAGAATGTTTCTACATAAAATGTTTACAAGGAATTGTTTTTTTTTTTTTTTTTTTACCTGTGGCGACTCAAATGGATAGCGTGGGCCAAACTTGAAGCAAAGTTTGAAACTTTCTCCATCATATAATGTTCCAGAAGCACCTTCAAGATCCACAATCCACCTGTAAAATGCAATTAACACATCATTCACATCATTTACAAAAAAAAAAAAAAAAAAAAAAAAAAATTTGTGTAGCAGTGAAGAAGGAAGCAAAAAAAAGCAATGTTAATGCTCCTTAGCAAGAATCATTTCATTATTGGCTGAGTGATAAAAACAGGAATTTTTTTTCTTCTATTTTTGGATACACAATAGTTAATCTCATTTTGCCATCAAATATGAACAAAATGCAGATAAAATTGTGTGAGCAAAGTTTTCCCCTACTTTACAAAGTACCAACAATTTTTTGACACTTTAATAATAAAATAACATTTCAGTCACTTATGTGCCATGCATGATACACGCTAAGGCGATCATGTATCTTTCGATACATGACTGACAAGGCAGATTTTTTTCCTGCAGTAGGTTGCTATTTCTTTCTGCAGTAGACCAGTTGCCATCCAAAGCTATAGAACCTAGTTTGTCCTGCTATTTACCAATAGCTAGGTCGGGGGGAGAAGATAATTCATACCTTTCCCAAGGGTATTAGCACATAAGTGAATGTAATGGATTCAAGTGGAATTCGAACTCAGCTTTCAGATTCCTCAATCCGAGCCACTATCCATTACTCCATCGTCAGCAGGTTAATAGTCTGTGATTAACCTACCAAGCAATAGTACTGTATCCTGACTGATAAATCTATTAACTCTGGACTGTGATTAGATAATAAGACAATGTTAAAACAATTGCTTCCATTAAAATAATGAGAGATGTTAAAAAAAAATGAATATATTTTAATATTCAGTTACATTAGATCATATCCCAAAGCAGTTAACATTCTATGAGAGAAAAAAAAAATGGAAGTAACTTGTACTTATATATATATGTATATAAAACTTCAGATATAAATAAAATATATCTGTAAAAAGACAATATGAATAAAGACAAAATGAAACTTCTTATCTGATGCATTTTATCAAGACAAATGTAAGGATTTCATTTTGCAACAAGGATTTATAAACAGAAATGTAAGTTAGGTTTTCAAATATTTTAAATTTAAGAACACTCAAAAATATTCTAAGGCTCTAAAATTCAAGGTAAACTATAGAAGATGCTAAGTAATGTAATGTAATTTAATGCCTAATTTTTTTATTTTCTTTTATAATTTTTATTTATTTACTTTTAATGTAATTATTAATCATTTTAATTTGATAAATTATGCATTTATTTTTTAAAAATACAGTTTTGATTTAACTATTTTCTTTTAATTTAAAATTTTTTTTTATGGCCATGTATGTTAACTTTGGAAAGGAGCATGTCTTTTGGGGCATCGCCTAACATTTTGGTAAGATTCGATAACAACACTCTCAAGAACTTTTCATTTAAGTTATTTTCTCATTTAATTAAAAGCTTAGTCAGCCAGTCCAAAACTGAAGAGGACGACCTTCCTGAATCAAACTCAAAAGCACAACTACCCAGTTTTTAAATGAAGAGCGCAAACTTCCTAAATCAAACTAAAGAGCATTTTGGGGGAAGGCTATATCTAATCAAACAACTATAAAGGTCTCACTTAACTTGATAAAAAAAAGCCTACTGTCAATGTTTTGTGCAGATATTAAAGAGTTTTATGCGTATGAGGACCTATTACTTGTTACGGTTATGGATTACATACAGGAATCTCTGATGCCTGGTTTGAAGAGAACGAACTGGCAAGGCAAAGTGAATTATGCACCTGAGGTCAATAAAAAAAAAAGCAAAAAAAAAAACAGTGATAAAACTAATAGGATTGAAGGTACTCAGGAATGAATCAGTTACTAGATTTCTCTGACCCTTTTTTGAGTGAAATAACTTTGGAAAAGCTTCTAACTTTAGCAGAATATGTGAAACATTGAAAAAAAGCTGAATCATCTTTATTTCCTTTGTATTCTATTTGTAAGAAGAAAGTTCCACTCATACAACAATCTCAGTAACCCTCTACTTTGAATGGCTCTTGGACCTTGTAATGGGTAAACATTTAGTAAAAGAAAAAAATAATTAAATAATAATTTTATTCACTTATTAAATGTATTATACCAATGAGAAAATACTGTGTGCAAAAGTTCCCATCATTTTGTTTTTTAATTATTAAAAAAACTGATTTTGTCTTGTATATTCAGTCCTGAGGACTTCTATACACACAAAAAAAACTATAATAGTGATGATCCAATTTGAGAGAATCATTGAAAAGAAATGCAAAATACTTACTCAGACATACTCTTAGTAATGCTTTTGATATCCACACATAATCCTGGTGGTGGATCTTTTGTCAATGATTGGAGTTCTTTCTGCAGTCGTTTCTAAAAAAAAAAAAAAAAAGTAAAGAAAAATTCATTCACAATGTCGCTATAACAGAGAAATTTAAGCAGATTAATTATGATGATCAGAGAAGATTGATCATTAAAATTTGGCAGAGAGAAATCAAGGGGTGCTTTTCAGAAAGGAAAATACACACAGGATTTACAAAAATATAATTAAAATGTTTAATTAATTTAAAAATAACTAAACTATTAAAGGTTTTAAAAGGAATAAATACAAAAAACATTAGTTATATTTTACTGTCATTTTTATATTTATTTAAACATTTTGATAAAATCCCCTTGAATAATTTGACACAAAAATATTCTTATTGGTTTTCATGTTCAGAAGAACATTTATCATAATTTAAGAATTGTTCTCTATGAATCCCTTTTCTATAGAAAGAATATTAGCAGGCTTCAATTATTCACAAAGTTTTTTACATCTTTTTCAAGAGATTTTCATTTGAAATTACCTGCCTCATGATAAATTTTTCCTTTATTATTTTTAAACTCTTCCTTGTATTTTCAATTTAGCTTATGATGAGCAGAAAACATATCGTTATTTGCTAATAGTTCATTCAAGATTTTTAACCAAAAATTGACAGAAAAATATAATATTCTAGCTTTGTTTATTAAAATGAGTTCTTACAATTAATGTCTAGCACATTTAGAGATAAATAATACAAATATCTAAATGAAAGCATTTTATTCTTCATTTTCCATATAGCTTTCATTCATCAGTTTAAGGGGTTAAATTTTGGTGTGTTGTATTGTGTCAGCAGGCTCCATTTATAAAACTCTGCCACTATTGGTGAGAAGTAAGACTTGTTTATTTTAAGAAATTAATTGCTTTTAGAAAAAAAGCCAACAGAATTTTAATTAAAACTTTTGTCTCATTCTAGCATTTTGTCTCCAACTAATGTTCTGTTGTCTCTGGGATGATGGGGCAATGTTAATTTCAAACACTGATCAGAAAAATATGAACAAGAAAAATCTAACTTTGAATATCACAAAAATCAAATTTGAAAAACATTTAAAGCAAAAAAACTAGTTCCCCTGGTACAAAAATATTTGAAGCTGGCATTGCAAATGGGGAGAGAGAGAGAAAATGCAAAATATTAAGAATATATAGATAAAATATATAAATATATGATAAAGCAACCAGACTATAAACCTTAAAGTAAACATCACAAGGAAAAGTTAGGTGGAGAAGTACATGAAAACTGATTCTGAACTGTAATTTTTAGTGAAGAGTGTAGAGCTACAATGGATGGACATGATGGCATGGGAATAGTGAAGCCCCATGACTTAGAAGACAACAAATGAGGAGTTATCATTATTCATCTCAGGCTATTGTCCACATCTTTGTAGTTGTTGTTGTTATTATTATTACATTTTGGTCCTATCCACCTTTATCAGACCTGTATAACTTACAATGAATTCTGAAACGAATCCTTTGTTTAATCTATATTCTACTGCTCATGTCTAGTTCTTATTTTTAATACTGCTCAGTTTTTGTTTGTCCCATTTCCATGGAGTCCAAGTACACACAGCCCACCCCAGGGATCGAACTTACTGTCACCAAATTCACAACCCAATGTTTTAATCCACCAGGCTATTGTCATGTAGGAAAATTCTCTGTGGAGAACTTGAAGCCTTAAACCTAACCTGCCTGCAGATTAGTGTTGCCTGTTATGATTGTTGTTGAAGACTTGCTGTCATTTGTCTCTTTCTTTATTAGCGGCTCCCATATATTTATTTCTATGCCAGGCCTACAAAGGAGGTCCTCATAGCCTAGCATATGCACTGATTCTTTCAGACGTGTTTCTTATTCAAGATATCACTTCATTCCACAGAGGCTGACAACTCCCCTTTTCCCTCCATACATGATCAGCCACGCTTGATTTCATTTCTTGCAATGGCTTTTCCATGTTCCTCCAGCTTTTCTTTTAGGGGCAGCTTGTTTTGCCTTTATATTCTTTGCCACAACTGCAAGGGATCAAGTACACAGTTCTTGGTCATGTTCTCCCCCGTGTTAGGCTTTACTCAGCAATTTCTCCATACAGTGGAGCTGTTTCTAAGTATTGTCCTGATGGTGTATGGACTGTATGTCTTTTCTGATAAGCTCTTAAGGCAGACAGACTGGTAATTTTCTGATCTTCCTCTTTGACCCTTTTGTTTCCACCTGCAGATGCTGATGTTATGTTCGCAGGGTAGCTGTTATTCTGAAGTTGTTGACCCACTCAAACAGGAACTGTAGAGCCTCAATGAGGCTTGACAGCAGTCAATAGGATTAAATGAAGACAGTCCATATTTAGGATAAAGAACCAGGAAAAAAATATAAGAGAAGGCTTGATTACATTTAATGATTATTCGAATTAAATGTTGAAAAAGAATTAAGAAACTTAATTAGTTTGCAGAAATTAGAAGAGTTGAGGTGTTCTTAATAAAACCTAAATATTAGCTTGGAGGTAACTTAGTAACTTCAAATAACTGGTACAGTCTTCTACCCACCTGCTACACTTGTCAAGTCAGGTGAAAATTAAGACAAGAAATTACGTTCTTAACTGAAATTAAAAAAATTATCTCTAACAAAAAAAAAAAAAAAACACAACCTTGAAATTAAGTTTACATAAAGACCTATATATTGAATTAGTGTTTTTTTTTTGGGGGGGGGGGGTTCAGAGATAGAACTTTCCAAAAAACACAGCCAAATCTGGCCAATGAACCACACCCTACTTTTAACAAAAGTGGCGTAACTTATAAAATTCTTGCTTATCTTGGATTTTTATTTTTCATGTCAACATATGGCCATCAATTCTTGCCATTTATTCAACATATCATCTCCAATGCCTTGTAGACATATCAAATTTTCTGTTAGACATTAGGTTACATCTATTGCCTTTACCATTATAAGCCTCGCTTATAGTTAATATTCCCTATTTAATTTTGAGTGTAATTTCACCTTTCCCTTAAACCACCAATAATGAACTGAGCGAGTGGTGCTACTTTTGTATTTTTCATTACTGAGACTCATTCTATAATTGTAAATTTTTTTTTCCACACCCTCTGTCACACCAATGTTTTATTTGGTGCTATTGTGATTTATTATTATGGTCCTATAAATCCCATTCTCAGTCAATTTCAACCAAGCACACAGTCATTTTTAACTTGCCAATTATACAATTTTTCTTAATTCTGTGACTGTCCACTATTTTTGGTCGACACTTTATTATTATGGTTGGCAGTCAACCTACTCATATTATTTGCACAGCTATAGCTGACCTTGAAATTATTTTTGTTACTTTTCTCAACTGTGGCTTACTTGGAAAGTGTTTATCAGCAAGTTTAAGAAATATTTTAGCCACATTGGTCTTTTAACGCTCTGTTAAACCAGACAAAACCATTGAAAATTTGAAAAAGGAACTTTCAGGAAGCAATTATTTTCTCTCCCCTTCCTCAATAAATAACACTCAGGTTGCAACAGATACATGAAGATTGCAACGATGCATGAAATTGATAGTTGTTTTTTTAATCATTTCACTCCAAGCAAGGAAATAAATCCACAAAGACAAGGAATTACTGGAGAAGAAAAAAAAAAAATAAAAGAACAGGAATTAAGAAGCGAGAAGATAATGACTGAGTTTGTATTTAAATTTTTAAAGATCAAAGTTGACTAGAAAGCAAGAAGCCAAGAGAGTTCCACAAGCAAGATGTGTGAGAGAAGAAACTGTTAGTATAGAACTTATGGCTACGTCTAGCCATTTCAACTGTAAAATGATGAAACCTAGCTGCCAATCTAGTACTGCACATAAATTCATAAAGTCTAGGTACCATGAGAACAATTACCATGAAAATATTTATAGAAAAGGTAGAGAGAAGTTACTTTATGATAGTGGGAAAGTGACTGAAGCTGAGATGCCAGGTCAGGCCGATAACATTGCTGATTCTTCTTTGAATTTTATCAAGAATCTCTAAACACACAGCAGAAGCACCAGACCAGATATGGCAGTAATATTCAATGCATGGTTGACTTATAAATGTGTAAGATAAAATTGTCTAGCATGACACATTGAACCAAATTTCCTAGCAGAAGATCTAGCAATTGATTCAATATAATCTTTCCACTTCATATAGACTAAGAAGGCACAATGAGTCTCACTCTTGGAAGTTAGCATCAGCCATGTCGATAGAAGGCAAGAAAGAGAGCAGTTTCATTTTGGAGAGATTAAAATTAAACTATTTCTTTCCCTAGTTAACAACAGATTGAAGGTAATTTTTGAGATCAGCTGCTAATTCAGCCTTATCAAACTGATGAGACTTACTATCGAGACACAAGTAAATAGTTGCATCATCAGCATAGATACCAAGTCAAGAAATGATGACATCAGGATGTTGTTGATATAAAATTAGGAAAAACATAGGATCAAGCCTGCATGGAATACTGGTACCCTGACTGTTCATCTCAAGGTTCGACAAAATCCAAAGACGGATACGCAATGTCATTGGTACTGACTTGGGGTCTCAAGTCCAGTCACTTTCTCACCAACATAATGTGGCTTTCCTCTGTCTTTCCTATAAATATTTTCATGACATCTGCTCTGATGAGTTATTTTTACTGGTGCATGAATTTAAGCATGCTACTAGGTTGGCATCTCACTCTTTTACTCTCAAAACAGTTAAATGTGACTGCCTCTTCTACTCCAACAGCTTCTTCTCTCACACTTCCCAGTGAAACTCCCTCCCTCTTACTTGCTTCACTGATAACTATCACCTTCAAAAATTTAAATGAAATGTTAATCAACATCTGTTGCTTTTTATCCCCATTCTTCATTTTATCCTTTCCTCAGTCTTTTCCCTTAATCTCTGTAGCCACTTGCGTACTAGTGACACTTGCTCCTTGCTTGGGGTGAAATGCTTTAAAAAAAAAAAAAAGAGAGAGAAAAAGGATAGAGCCGTGGAGCTCTTGCCTAAAAGAGGTAGAAGGCTAATAGACCAAT